CCCCCATCCTATCCCATCTCATCCCATCCCAACCGTACCCAACCCAACCCAACCAATCCTGTCCCCCATCCTATCCCATCTCATCCCATCCCAACCGTACCCTACCCAACCCAACCAATCCTATCCCTATCCCCATCCCAACCCAACTTTACCTAACCAAACCCATCTACATCCAATCCTATCCTATCCTATCCTATCCTATCCTATCCTATCCTATCCCATCCCATCCCATCCCATCCTATCCCCATCCCATCCCCATCCCAACCCAACCCATCTAATTTCATCCCCATCCCCATCCCATCCCATCCCATCCCATCCCATCCCATCCCCATCCCATCCCAACCCAACCCATCTAATTTCATCCCTATCCCCATCCCATCCCATCCCACCCTATCCCCATCCCCATCCCATCCCCATCCCAACCCAACACATCTAATTTCATCCCCATCCCCATCCCATCCCCATCCCATCCCATCCCATCCCATCCCATCCCCATCCCATCCCATCCCATCCCATCCCATCCCCATCCCATCCCCATCCCATCCTCATCCCATCCTCACACATACACACTGACACACTCCCAACTCTCTCGCCTTCTCCCTGTATGAGACTATGAACAGAGGGGGGAGTTGCATGTATCACCTTCACACCTGCTGTTCTATCACAACTGTTTATCCCAATAATTTAGTCATAATCTCTGTGGTGGTGAAACGAGACACCCATGCTCATATAATGAGAACATAATGGAGTGCGCATGATCTTTACGGAGTTCATCGTCAGTGTATGTTGTTTTTCAGGCTGTAGCTGGTTCATTTGTAGAGACGATATTATTTCGATCTCACTTTTAGTCATAATAAAAATATAGAGGATATTATATCAGTGTTCATGTCATACTATGTTTATGACTCGAGTGTCAAAATTCCGGATCTTAGGTACGGTGAGGTGAGGTGAAATTGGTTTAACGTCGCGTCCAAGATTATTGCACTTATATAGCGACGTGCATGCACGTGTGTGTGTGTGTGTGTGTGTGGCTGCTTGTACTAGTCTGGACTGATGCCGATTTATAGTGCTAGCTCACTGAGATACCATGCCGCAGTTTAACATGAATACCCCAATCAGACACAGTATACTGACTCCGAGCCGACCAGTCCTTGTTTTAGCCCCTTAATGCCGACAGGGTAACAACAAGTACCATCTTTTAACGTCTTTTGGTATGACGCGGCCGGGGATCGAACCCCGGACCTTCCGCTCTCCGGGCGGACGCTCTACCACTAGACCACGGAGGCGGTCGATCTTAGGTACGAGTGTCGTAAGCATAGCATGACATGAACACGAATATATTGTTCTTTTATTACCGAAGATGTCCACAATCAGTCGCAACAGCAGCGGAACCACAATTTGTCGAATGACGTCAAACATATTCAGCTATGACGTCGTTTCTAGTGTGACGTCATTCCGCCCTTACGTCACAATAATATTCGAATGACGTCAACAATGCCGTTTGGATGACGGAAACAATACACTGTTGTCTTGTGACGTGACATGACCCAAGGGCACATGAGATTTTTATTAACCCCGATATGTTTGCCCTTGTAGGCATAAATATATAAATGACACAGATAGCTTATCACCTCTAACGAATGTATGTCAGTGAGTACAGTAAATTGATTTTAGAATCGACCCTGCCCAGAGTTTAAAAGCTGATTTACTTTTTAAAGGAGAGAAAAGACACAGCCACTGTGTAGTGACAAGTCAATACTTCCTGGTCGGACAATAAATTGCAAATAGATCGTTTTATCTCTTCAGATAAGAGAAGCCATTGAGTGAGGGGCGCACGTGGCAGTCAGCAATGTTGAACTCTGTGAATAATAAAAACAGTCTTTGGCAGGGTTGGTTGGATAGTTGTTGAACGCCGCACTCAGCAATATTCCGGCTATATGACGGCGGTCTGTAAATAATTGAGTCTGGACAAGACAATCCAGTGATTGCCATCATGATCATCGATCCACGCAATTGGGACCGATGACATGCATCAACCAAGTCAGCGAGCCTGACCACCCGATCCCGATAGTCGCCTCTTACGACAAGCATGGGTTGCTGAAGACCCATTCTATCCCGTATCTTCAACGGGTCCTTTGGCAGGGAAACCATTGTTGACAATCAGCTGATGACATCAGCAAGGATCCGTTCAGTCGGGGCAAATTGACACAAGAGGGCCCAGCAAGATCACACATTTTATTATATACTTCAATGTGTTAGCGATATATTCATTGCAGTGAACATAACACTTTGACGGAACTATTGTCATACAAGATTGATCTCCTATCCCTCCACGTTTATCGTAAGTGTCTGGCCCGTACACAAACAGTTGACTTCCTTTTTACGTTAGTTCCACATTGACAAGACAAAATAATGACAGATGGTCATTTATGGTGTTAATATCGGTTCGTGCCGTTTGTTATTCCCTTTAAATGTTTTGTTATAAACTGTACATTTCTCATTTAACTCGTCAATCGAGACTATTATAAGCGAAGTTTACAAGAATATTTTTGTTATAGATGATTTTGTATAATTATAATCATTTCTATATGTATGATACAGAATTTTCGTGACCGTAAATATTTTTTGTTATTTTTGTTTATATTTTTTAAGATTTTGCAAACACGAAACTAGTCGCAAATACAAGTGGTGGTTAACCATGTGTGTTAGGTTGGGAGAATTCACGTCTCAAGGTTTTACATTTGTAATGAAATAATTAAATTTTCCGGTAGACAACTACACAAAAAGTATACATGTATATTAAATTGGACATTTCATGTGTCGAGTGAAATATCATGATTCTCTCATCGAGTGACGGGGGAAAGGAGATATTTTCACGGAATCGGCCCCCTATCGATGAACGTTAATTCCGGAAATACGACAAACCAATCAGAATGTGCGTATGACTTCAAGTTCTTCTGTCAAAGAATCCCTCAGAAATAATTTTTGATGTCTTGTATCTAAAATATACGGTCCCAGATACAGTTAAATGTGTTCAATCTTATTGCTCAATATAATGCCCCGTTGTGTTTTCAATAGCATCAGGAATACACATGATAAACTGACGTCCAAAAGAAACTTGTGTACGGCGTTGGCAACGACGTGACTGGCAGAGGATTATCTTCACTGACGAAAGTCGATTCTGTATGTCTAGGGCTGATGGAAGACAACGTGTTTACCGCCGAAGGGGTGAACGAACGGCGGCGTGTTGCGTGCAGGAGGTCGTACCATATGGTTGAGGGAGTGTCATGTTGTGGGGAGGGATCTGTGGGCAGGAGAGGACACCGCTGGTCATCGTTGACGGAAACTTGACAGCTCAGCGGTACATGGATAACATTCTTCGTCCAGTTGTCCTACCATTTCTCCAGCAGCCACGTGGTGTCATTTATCAGCATGACAACGCTAGAGCCCATACAGCCAGAATTGTCACTAACTTCCTCGCAGCCAACAACGTCAACGCCCTGCCCTGGCCTGCACGCTCACCCGACATGTCCCCCATAGAACACCTCTGGGACTTGATGGATCGTCGTGTTCGACAACGACCACACTCTCCAGCCAACCGGCAAGAACTGGCGTCAAATCCCACACGACCTCATCAGACGACAGACTTTTTCTGTGCGTCGAAGAGTTTTTGCGTGTATTTAGGCATTTGGTGGTCACACACGCTACTAATGACTTGCTATTGAACGTGAGCGATTGTTTATGTACTCTGCCTATTGTCCATGATTCTGAAAGCTCGAGTTTTGTACCACACCCAACTTCGGGGGGCTCTGACGTCATCCTTGGTCGCGGTATGATTGTCATTTTCAGTGTTGATTATGTTGATATATTGATCTTCTCAATACACTTTACTTCATGCATGTTTGTTTTGTTGTTTTTGGGCAAGAGTGATTTCAAACTCTGGTAAAGTTTCTTTTGGACGTCAGTTTATATGCGGATGATATACGTGAAACATTACGCAACGAGTTGACAATTCTATTTTCTATGCCCGTTTGCGCCACAAATGACCACGAGAGGGGCACGAGTGGCTATTCGGCTTGTCCCGGAATAACGGGAGTGTTTTGTTGCTTTTGTTCTGGGTATTTTTTTTTAAAAAGTATAATGCTGACAATTTTTAAATATGTTTTTATTTATCTATTTCCCAAGATTGATATGTTGCGTTAGGTATACGATGGACGATATATGTACGATTTTTAATAAATAAAACAGCTTTAAATGGACAATCTTCATTAGATTAGGCTTTATGACACGCAATATAAGACTTTTGATATATTATATAATGTTATCTGCAAGTATTCCATTTCTGTCTGTTAATTAAGTGAGTGAGTGAGTGAGTTAATATTTAACGTCACATCGGCAGTATTTCAGCCATATCGTGACGACTGTTAATCAAGAGGTCTGTTTCTTGCAACTGCAACAGATTTTTCGACTTTGCATACAGATGATAGATGCCACATGAAGCGATCAACGGATGGTTTTTAGCTTTTGAAACTTGATGTATAAAAGAAAGGAAAATTCAGTAACATGAAACATATGTTGAAGGTACTGGTTATGACAGGAGTTGCTCAAGGATGGAATTTTTATTGTCAGAACCAGCTATTTTACGAGCGCTTCAGTACTGATTATCACTGTAACAGTTGAAGCGTCCAGTGGATCTGTGCTGACAATATCAGTAACTGACCCGACCCGTGAAGATCCGGGGTACAATAGGTCTTCAGCAACCGTAAAAGGCGACTATGCTTGTCGTAAAAGGCGACTGACGGGGTCCGGTGGTCAGGCTCGCTGATATGGTTGATGCATGTCATCGTATCCCAATTGCGTGGATCGATGCTCATGATATCAGTCACTGGATTGTATCGCCCAGACTCGATTATTTACAGACCGCCGTCATATAGCTGGAATATTGATGAGGTGCGGCGTAAAACAACAAACCAACAAATAAACCAACCCAATTGCGTGGATCGATGTTCATTATGTCAATCACTGGATTGTCTAGTCGCCTTTTACGACAAGCATAGTCACCTTTTACGGCAAGCATGGGTTGCTGAAGACCTATTCTACGCCGGAATCTTCACGGGTCTCGAAATATGAACGGAAAATGAAGCGAAAGTAGTTATGTAAAGTTAAGGTTGCCAAGAATGACAGGGCCGTTATATTTACGCACTTTGCAAGTGTCAGAAATATGTACAGGTTTATGTTTCCATCTAGGTCAATAAACCCTCTTTTGAATTTGTAATTGTTGCAATGCTCTGTAACAGTAACTAAACTTACTTGTCATGTCATAAATTGTACACAGTTATGCAAGAAAGAACAACACATTTATGTTTATGGTATACTGCCTTGCTAAAATTTAAAGATAAATTCAAAAAACAATTGAGTGGCAACTGCAAAAATTTTGACATCTGAAATTCAAGAACAAGTGAGCGCTTCTTGTGGTCTTTATGTAATGGACATGATAAACCATCGTTTTAATTTAGATATCATGATTTTAAATAGCAGTTTAACGTATTTTATTAACCAAATTATGGCTAGTATAAATGTCACTATGCAGTGATAAAAGACATACAGTTCTTCCAGTGTTAACATTCATTGCTGTCCTTCAACAAGCCTGCAGTTGATGACTGCCTTCCATTTTGACACTGCTCCAACAGTGGCAAGAGTCGTCTCATGTGGAAGTCCAGACTAATGAGGGCTTTCGAGATGTTCTTCATGGGCTGGAGACTCTGTATCAGGTCCGATATCTTGTCGACAAGAGCGCCCTCTTCCCCAACAACCTCTACATCCGGCTCTCTCTCTGCTCCATCTTGTGATGGCTGATCGGCAATGCCTAGTTCGACGTTGACCTCGGCTGATTCTTCAACATCCGGCGTAGGTTCGTTAGTATGGTCATATATTTGTTTGTCCTGTTGCAGGTTGTTGTTTAATGGCAGGTCTAGTTCTTCTGTTTTAAGTGGGAAAGATGTTTTCGCCCTCTGGGCCTCTTTATAGGTTTTGGTAATTCCGGTCACATTTTTGTCTTCGAGAACATCTTTCATGTTTGTTTCCTCGTTTACGCCAGCATCGTTTGTTGCCATGGGTACCCTTTCTCGCCGTGTGGTTGGTGTCCTTTCTGTCTTAATTCTGCTGCCCTCACCCGATGAAGATGTCAGTCTGGGCTTTTTGTTCTGGTTGTCTGGTTCAGATGTTCGCTGTCGCTTATTTCCCCTTTCTTTCGATTTCCTTCCTTTTTCTACACCGTTTCTTTCTTCATCACCGTTAATATTTCTTATTTCGCTTGTTTTTCTTTCTCCTTTCTCGGATTTCTTTCTTCTTTCACCGCCTTTTCTTTCTTTTTCCTCCGATTTCTTTCTTCTTTCCCCGCCATTTCCTTCTCTTTCCTCAGATGTCTTTCTTCTTTCCATTGTGTTTCCTTCTCTTTCCTCAGATGTCTTTCTTCTTTCCATTGTGTTTCCTTCTCTTTCCTCAGATGCCTTTCTTCTTTCCATTGTGTTTCCTTCTCTTTCCTTGGATTTCCTTCTTCTTTCCATTGTGTTTCCTTCTCTTTCCTCAGATGTCCTTCTTCTTTCCATTGTGTTTCCTTCTCTTTCCTCAGATGTCTTTCTTCTTTCCATTGTGTTTCCTTCTCTTTCCTCAGATGTCCTTCTTCTTTCCATTGTGTTTCCTTCTCTTTCCTCAGATGTCTTTCTTCTTTCCATTGTGTTTTCTTCTCTTTCTTTGGATTTCCTTCTTCTTTCCATTGTGTTTCCTTCTCTTTCCTCAGATTTCCTTCTTCTTTCCATTGTGTTTCCTTCTCTTTCCTCAGATGTCTTTCTTCTTTCCATTGTGTTTCCTTCTCTTTCCTTGAAAATATTTCTTCTTTCCATTGTGTTTCCTTCTCTCTCCTCAGATTTCTTTCTTCTTTCCCTGTCGTTTCCTTCTCTTTCCTGAGATCTATTTCTCCTTTCCCTCGTGTTTCCTTCTCTTTCACAAAATCTATTTCTTCTTATTTCGTCTTCCTCCGATTCTGTCTCGCCAACGGAATAGTCAAAACCCAAACCAGGACTGAGAACGATACCGAGTGATTTGTGGTTGTAATCGATAACCTTGTCCACGCCGGTATTGTACATAGGTTCATTCTCGCGATGCGGCAAAATATCTCTACCAAATTGTACTTTATATGGTGTTTTGGATTTTATGTACTCAATTATTCCTAGAGGGCATCGCTTCACTGCTTCTTGGTGGCGAAAATGATTTGTATGATTCTGAAGCTGATGATGCGACAGAGCCTTGAAATTGCACAAGGAACACCTCCATGGTGCCTCCTCATCGGTCACGTGGCTTCGGATAAAATGCTCTGTTAATTTTCTCTGTGTATCAATCTTGGGGCACTTACTGCATTCGTAATTTTGGGAGGTCATATTGTGTCCTGAAAGTAAAAGTAATAATTCTGACGAAATAACCTCAACAATACAAAGAGATTGTGGAGGAGGACTGCTGGTGTTTTTGGTTCATCCTTAAACCGCCTCAGTGGTCTGGTGGTAGAGCGTCCGCCCGGAGAGCGGAAGGTCTGGAGTTCGATCCCCGGTCGCGTCATACCATAAGACGTTAAAAGAGGGTACTTGTTGTTACCCTGTCTGGCGCTCGGCATTATGGGGCTAAAACAAGGACTGGTAGGCTCGGTGTCAGTATACTGTGTCTGAGTGGGGTATTCATGTTAAACTGCGGCATGGTATCTCAGTGAGCTAGCACTATAAATCGGCATCAGTCCGGACTAGAACAAGCAGCCACACACACGTGCATGTATAATGCACGTCGCTATATAAGTGCAATAATCTTGGACGCGACGTTCAACCACATTTCACCTCACCTCACCTCACCTCACCTCACCTCACCTCACCTCACCTCACCTCAACTCAACTCAACTCAACTCACCTCACCTCGTTCATCCTTAAAGATAGATACGCCGGCCTGTGATTGCATGAACAGTCAGTGAGAAACCCTCAACATCAACATCATAGTGATGGGATGAATCAACCAGCATGACTATTATCAGCAAACTTTGTGGGGAAGGTAAATGTTGTTTGTTTGTTGTTTAACGCCGCACTCAACAATATTCCAGTTATATGACGACGGTCTGTAAATAATCAAATCTGGACCAGACAGTCCAGTGATTGACATCATGAGCATCGATCCACGCAATTGGGATACGATGACATGCATCAACCAAGTCAGCGAGCCTGACCACCCGATCCCGTTAGCCGCCTCTTACGACAAGCACAGTCGCGTTTTACGGCAAGCACGGGTTGCTGAAGACCTATTCTACCGCGGGTCTTCACGGGTGGAAGGTAAATGGGTGTTTGCAAAACGAAAGGATAATATGAACTCATTTAAAAGAAAGATGAAAAATGCATGCATTTTGATTTGGATAAAATTGTATTTTGCGGATTAGTAAATTTAAGTAATCTAAACAATACAAACCTATGTCAAACCTGTAGAAGAGCTACTATAATGCTGCGAATATAGACTCCGAATGACCACCAAACTGGCTGAATGCTTGATTTGGGACTTCGGATGTTCCTGGAATTGTCAGAAGTTTCTCTGAAGCAAAACCAAAAGTGAAAGTAGAAGCAACATTTTAGTGTTGCCTCAAAACATCCAATCAAACAATAGGTATACGATGACATACATCAACCAAGTCAGCGAGCCTGACCCCCCGATCCCGTTAGTCGCCTCTTTTACAGCGAGCATTGGTTGCTGAAGACCTATTGTACCCCGGATCTTCACGGGTTGATCCATTATGTAGTACTACCAGCACAGTGGGGACGCTGACCTAACTCGGAATCCCCGCGGGGTAAATCCATGACTACTGACAGAACTTGAACACGATTAACCCAAATCCTCTACCTGACGAGTGTTCCAACGTTGAATATAACAGGAACTTCTTAGAGTGTTTGCAAACCCTGTGTCTGGGTCGGCGCATGTAACGCAGTACCTCTGATTTGTGCCTGCTAAAACGAGATATTCCCCATGCAGCTATTTTAAGAACTACATCATATAGGGCATGTGTTACTAAGTATGCCAAGGACACTGTGTACGCGATAACATCTGTGAGTGCCCAAACTTACGGTGGCCCATAAGGGACATGGAGTCTGTTTTTCAATATTTTGATATTTCACTTACTTTTATCGTAACCTTTTGCAAATTAACGCAATTTGTCAAACAAATATGTGATAAATCATGTATAAAAACAACCGAAAACATGGAAAAGTAGCTATCGAATCGCTGAAATTTGAAGCAAAAATGTCAAAATCTAAAAGGGAAATGTCAAAAACTACAATATAAATACAGTAAAGTATTTCCACCGCAGTGAAAAGTATTTCCAATAAAAATAGTTTTCACCGCGATGGAAATACTTTTCTGTACTTTCATTTTAGTTTTTTACATTTTCGTTTTTGTTTTGGACATTTTATGGGCCACCGTACAAACTAGATATTCCTCTTGTAGCTATGTTATGTTCTACGTCCCCTACTAGACAATCCAGTGATTGATATCATGAGCATCGATCCACGCAATTGGGATACGATGACATGCATCAACCAAGTCAGGGAGCCTGACCACCCGATCCCGTTAGTCGCCTCTTACGACAAGCATAGTCGCCTTTTACGACAAGCATGGGTTGCTGAAGACCATGTCTTACCTTGATCTAACGGGTCGTTTCACTGAGCATGAGTCACGCGATTCTAATACATAATATCGACATACCCTTTCCATAATCCTAAGAAATGTCAAAAAAGGGAATTGCATCGGACATCATTTTGGTCTTGGTCACTGAGGTTTCGTGTGTGTGCGTGCGTGCGTGCGTGCGTGCGTGCGTGCGTGCGTGTGTGGACTGAACAATTGCCTCCTTGGGTTTAGGTACCTTTAGACTTATCCTGAAATAAGGTTAATAAGAATAATTAAACTTCTCAGTGACGATTTACTTTGAAGCGAAGAAATACATTTCTGAAATACGGAATATAGTATTCAGTGGGACGCCAGGAAGACGCCAGAAATGAGCTTCACACATTGCAACCATGTGGGGAATCGAACACGGGTCTTCGGCGTGACGAGCGAACGCTTTAGCCACTAGGCTACCCCACCGCCCCTAATATGCTACAGTAGCATTGGAATATAGGGTACCATTGGTGTGACTGCAAGCAGCAATTCACACACGTTCAGGTCGCGCACTCAGAATATCCCTTTCAAATGTTGAGTGGGTTTATTTTTAGAATGTCAGTGTTTCAGCACTTTCATTTGAATGAGGGTGCTCGGCGGTTCAATGAAGTGCATGCCACCTGTGCGTTTCCTTTTTTGAAGAGTGTATTCAGGTATCAATACATAGTATAGGGCAACCATGCTTGTCTTACAGGTGACTCAAGGAGTCGGGTGGTCAGGCTCTCTGAGTTGGTTGATGCATGTTATCGTATCCAAATTTCGTGGATCGATGCTCATGATATCAATCACTGGATTGTCTGGTCCAGACTCGATTACTTACAGACCGCCGTCATATAGCTGGAATATTGCTGAGTGCTGCGTTACCCAACCAACAAACAAACATTAAATGTTGAATGTGTACGTGGTTTGGTCACAACAGAACTGAACTAAAGCAAAAAGCACGAAAAAGATCAGGAGGTGTACGTTTTTTAATAAAGAGAAGTTTACTCGATGAATGTGATGTGGAAAAAACAGATAATGAACATGGTTGTATTGTGTTTTAACAATATGTCTGTTATTTACCCCCAGACAATACCAATAGAAAGTTGACGCTTCCGCTTTTTATGACATATTACTGACACAAATATTTAGATACCAAAGATGTCATTCAACTTATGTGTGTGGTGATTTCACCGGCAGGTGTGCAGGTCTGTCAGATTACATTGAAGGTGTTGATTCCCTACAGGAGAGGGAGGTGATAGACAATACCTAAAATACATATGGACATGGTCTTCATGGGACCCGTGAAGATCCGGGATAGAATAGGTCTTCAGCAGCCCATACTTGCCGTAAAAGGCGACTAACGGGATCGGGTGGTCAGGCTCGCTGACTTGGTTGATGCATGTCATCGTATCCCAATTGCGTTGATCGATGCTCATGATGTCAATCACTGGATTGTCTGGTCCAGAGTCGATTATTTACAGACCGTCGTCATATAGCTGGAATATTGCTGAGTGCGGCGTTAAACAACAAACAAACAAACAAACAAACATACAAACAGACTGACAAACAGTATATATTGTAAACAGAGTGAGTGAGTATAATTTTACGCCGCTTTAAGCACGATTCCACCAATATCACAGCGGGGGACACCACAACAACAAACAAACATGGTGTTCATGGATTTTGAATGAACGCCAACTACGGTATTGCAATGTTCGCAATAGCATTTTACATGATTTTACGTACGCCTCAACACGAGATATATACATGTAAGTGGTAGGCTACAGTCATTGTCCATACGATTCCCTGGGGTGGTGTCTGTCTTCAGGGTCATACGTTACCATATGTTCTGGTAAAAAGTGCCGGGTGTGTGGGGTCGGTAGATGCTCAAGCTACGATTAAATTAGATCATTCAATACTTAAATGGACATTTCCAGTAGAATTTGTCGCGCGGGCCGGGCATCTTCCCGAGTCAAGGGAGTTAATTCCAGTAAAGTCCAGTTTCCACCCTTGCCGAACTAGGCTGGAATTATGGAGTAATAACTTGGCTGGACAAACGAGTCTATGCACAGGCCAATCAAAATCTCGTAACGAAATCGACATCCGGTACGTTAACTGCCGTGCAGATTTCGGTAGGAGGTAGGATTTGCAAAGCATGTGTACCGTCAACAGATATTTTCCAATTTTTTCATGTTTTAAACCAAGGTGCTGACGTGATTTGATGCACTTTGCGAAGTAAGACCCGTTCTATTACAATATAGATCTTGATTATCAATCAGATCGTCTTCACTGGGCAGGGGCAGTCGGGTAGCCTAGTGGTTAAAGCATTCACTCATCACGCCGAAGACCCGGATTCGATTCCCGACATGGGTACAATGTGTTAAGCCCATTTCTGGTGTCCCCCACCGTGATGTTGCTGGAATATTGCTAAAAGCGGCGTAAAACCATACTCACTCACACACTCTTCACTGGGCGCCGCCATTTTGTTTGAAGCAAATGCAAGTGATATAGAGGGACATAGAGGGAGGGGCATAGAAGGGACAAAACTCGTAATAGCCACTGGTGGCGCTACGATCGAGCACAGAAATTCCAGCTTAGTTCGGCAAGGGTGGAAACTGGACCTTTACGGTCAGTTAACTCCCTTGCCTCGGGAAGATGGGTAACAGTAGGAAAAAACTGATTTCTATGGAAGTGATACATCCAAAAGCTTTAACATACTCTGTTATATCGGAATTCAAACGAGCTATCTTTGAAAATATTGTCAAAGACCATATAGGCGCAATTAATCGTCCAAATAATAGTTGTGGTACTGGTGGTAACAAACTTCGACTTTGATGTAACTTCCAATAAAATTTAAAAATAAAACAATGTATATTTTGTTACATTTACCAATGTCATATCGACGTGTTCTAGCTACTTTTAGGTGTGATCTAACACCTGTAGATGAGGTGAGGTGAAATTGGGTTTAACGTCGCGTCCAAGATTGTGGCACTTGTATAGAGACGTGTGTATGGCTACTTGTGCTAGTCCGGACTGATGCCGATTTATAGTGCAAGCCCACTGAGATACCATGCCGCAGTTTAACAAGAATACCCCACTCAGACACAGTATACAGTAGACTCCGAGACGATCATTTCCTTGTTGAGCCCCTTAATGCCAAGCGTCATACAGAGTAACAAGTACCAATTTTAACGTCGTTTTTGTATCGAACCCCGGACCTTTAGCTCTCCGGGCGGACGCTCTACCACTAGACCACGGAGGCGGTCAGCACCTGTACGTGAAGAGACTGGGCGCTCTGCCAACTCTGCCAGTTACTGAGTTAAAGATTGTTGACGTCATTTGACAAATTGTGGTTCCGCTGCTGTTGCGACTTGCTGTAACACCAAAACACTAAAATTCGTCTCGGTATGTAGACATCTTCTTCGGAAATAAATAGAACATTATTTTCGTGTTGATGTCATACTTTATTTACGACACTTGTGTTCTAAACATAGTATGACATGAACACTCATATAATATCCTGATCTATTTATGTCTGCTGCCATAAAGCGTGCGACAAAACGTAATAAACCTCTATTGACTATAAAATGTGCAGTGAAAATAATATACCTAATACGAGTATGGTACAAGAGTGGCTAGAGGCGAGAGATACATTACAAATCTACTACATGTACAGTATATCAACTTTAGCAGATGGACAGTTATCGCATCCTGTGCCTCGGAAACTGCCGGTCATAAATACAGTCTGTGCAGTAGGCTAATTGAACTCCTCTGTGAAAGAGGTGGTAAGTGGCTTTCGTTGTGTGTTTAACATTGTAACGTAAAAAAATATTCGTCAAAAGAAAACAAACTAAATGTTCAATGCAACATTTTTTTACGTTGTAAATAAGTAACGGTTACATAAACCCTCCAAATATGACAGAAACCAGCTTACTGGTGTGCCCTATTACTGTAGTCTCTGCCAACACTACATGGCGTACCCTGACCTACAGTAAATTACGTTTATAACGAACTGACGGATATTACGAACTGAATTTTTGGTCCCTGCCATTTGCTGTATAGATGTTGTATATATGCTTACAACGAACTACGGTGATAACGAGCTAACATTAGTGGTCCATTAGAGTTCGTTATAACCGTAGTTTATTGTACTTAGTTTCTTGGAAGTAATTGTTGACAGTTACGCAACAATTTGAAATTTGGAAAGCGGTGGACGTGCCAGTTTTTACATTTTGTGCAAGATTAAAATTTGAAGTCACAGTGGAGGATACTTGGCTGACTGACAAATCTTAACCCTGCAGAATAGAAGAATTGCCCCTTCTTTGATCGGCCAACGAGTTAGAAAAGCAATGACAGTGTTGTCAGGAATGTTAGCGTGCAGTGAAGCGGTCATAAATCCAGATGCATGTTTTTTTGAATCCAAGTTGATTATGTATGTTTTATTGATTGTCCAATCAAAATCGAGTATTTTTACGTAGTCATGGTAGAATCAACAACAGCTGTCATCTGGCTTGAAGGGATATATAACATTAACTATTGTTTCTAAAACATTGGGTGTGTTAAAATATGTGTTATTATAGACAAGTTTTACATAGATAATGAGTTGCTTGTTCACTAATCCCTTTAATATTAATTTATTGTAATGAATATAATTGTGTTTAAATAAAAACTATGAGGTATTACCTAAGTACATTACGATCGCATGAACCAGAAATGTTGTAGGCAACAGGTGTATTCGATGACTAATTGAACATTTTAATGTATTTCGCCGGAAATAATCAATTAAAAAATTGTGACAAATGTTCATGTGTACATGTTTTACGTACTGGATTTGCAACAGCTGAGTTGGATGCGTGTGGTCTTAGTAATTATACAACGTCGAAGTATATTTTTAGGAAAATCAGGGACAGGCGGATTTTTGCACTTAATGCTCATGGCTTCTGTGAATAAAACTTACTGAGACAACCGATCTCTGTTTGTTTACTTCAGTGCTGATCCCCCAGCCTTTATCTAGGAGAATTCCTCACCAATTTGTACAATGTTTATTTGCGCTTCTCGAAGCTGTTAATATGGTACATGCCAACTTCGAGATAAAGATACAAAATTCTTAAGTAAGTTCGAGTTTCCATTTGTGACGTCACTTCCTGTTATGAGTATTACACAGAATGCCTTTACTATGCCACTTCCTGTTGTTACACGTATGTCATCACACTCCGTCGCAGTGGTGACTCAGCATAACTATGCTAGCTGGCTGCCGGCCGCATGGAACTCTGGGTAGGAGAGTGATGTCATCGTTGTCATGTGACGTCACTTCCGGCTATGACTGGGACGTCACATGGGGCTTAGGACGGTGGATCCGAGGGGGAGGGGGACATTCAAGCAACGCACAGTTCCCACGTCACCAACCACATACGGCTCCAATAAAGTTAAACAAACACACGCAAACATACAATTATATATGGAGATTTGCAATACTATGAGCGCGGGGAGTCATTTGGGACGTTATTAACGTATTGCAGCTCCGGTCCTGGTATGACGACGTCGCCATCGTCGGCGCACCAAGACGCATACATCTGCTTCACGTTCTATGTTTTTCATGCGTGGCATACTCAGCTACTGAATTCAGTTATTAAAAACTATTATGACAAGATTGTATTTTTCAGCGTCATACATAACTTCGTCTGTGACAGTGAGTGCGTTACAATTTAACGTCACACAGGCATTCGTTTGTAACCGTGCGCTTGTGATATTATAACTATGGAACATGATTTCCACTCTACACAAGATCGCATGATCGTTGGATCAAATGGCAGGGTATGCACGTGCACAATGTGCTTTGACGCCAGCATTTTCATCTAAAAATTATAAACAACACCTTTCTATCAGAAAAAAATATTTATTGAAGTAAATGAGTTATAAATTTATTATAATTAGATGTGTTATGTACATAACTAAGGCAGAGTTTGTTGCCAATCTGTAAAAATAATAGAGACGACAAACCTCTTTCCATAATCAAATGAATCGCGATTGTACGCTTCCGACTATATCATGAACATGTGTTTATGACTATAAGCGTATCCTGCCCCACCGGTGGCACCCATCACAAACATGCAAAGGCAAGTCAATTGTTCACCTACAAACCCACAGGAACATATGGTATAAGTAAACACACCCGGGTTTTGTGGAGTGAACAATTGACCTGCCTTTGCATGTGTTTGTGACGGCTGCCACCGGTAGAGCAGGATATGCTCACTTTTTCGCGAACACCTGGAATTATCTCTCTTTGATAGAGATTCATAAACACGTGTTCATGATACAGTCGGAATCCCACAATCAACTCTTGTGGCTTTGGAAAGGGTTTCGTAGCTTTTGTTATACCAAGTTTGATCAAACAGTTAATATACTAATGCCTACAAACAACGATTATGTCATTTGAGAACAACTACAAACCTTTCCGGTAAAAGAACTCGACTTGCCTCGAAATTACACGACTTGTCAGGTAATGGTCGAAGGGCTCTGAACAGACGAGGTAGTGAGTGAGTGAGTATGGTTTTACGCCGCTTTTAGCAATATTTCAGCAATATCACGACGGGGGACACCAGAAATTGACTTCACACATTGTACACATCTCGGGAATCGAACCCGGGTCCTCGGCGTGACGAGCGAACGCTTTAACCACTTGGCTACCCCAACGCTCCAAGTCGAGGTAGGTATGAGGCATCATACATAATTTAAGACACGGGGAAAATCTTCACAAATGTTTATGAAAATTTTCATATGGTTGACAATTAGACTATGTTCATTTCAACAAGTTCATAATTATGTCCTATACCAACACTTAATGCATAGCTACGGTTATAATGTGTTATAAAGCTTATTTTAGAGGTTCGGAGAGGTATATTTCTAATATTTGAACATGAATAAGTCTTTGACCCAAGCTCAATTTGTTAGGGGATGGAAAATACACTGGACATATGGTACAAAAATGATTTGGGTCACTAAAATTCACTTAATGTGTTACATTTGTTGCTTTTTTGTCATATCAAAAGTCTAAAACGAATGAAAAGAACGGAAAAAGACTAATTTTGATCCATTTGATACATGTCTGACAATGTTCATACTGATATTTCAACGTTTTCCGCAACCTTAAATTTAATCATTCCAGTGGGCCAAAGGTGTTGAATCCTAGATTGGACACTGTCACATTGTCACATTGTCGCATTGTCACCCTAACAAAAACAGGCAAAAAGTGTCAAACATAACCAAAGCGCGACTCTGTGACAATGCGACATGGCGACATGTTGGCAATTTGTCGCATTGTCCCGCTTTGAATTTTTTTTTTTATTTTACCAAAGGGCGACAATGCGGGACGTTATCCCACCTTGTTCTTTACGGATATAGCCTGACAGTAACGCAGAATACAACACATTAGGTCTCGATTAGGGATCGAGATACACGGAAGTTTTCATTGGTAAAACTAATGGTTTGAATTGCTGATGCGTCATCCTGCCTTTTTCTCCGCCAACGAATAACACAGACTGCGACGATAACGACGGTTAAGACCGCTATGACAATGAACACTGCCAGCACCCATATCGGTACAGGTGTTTTAGAATCATCGTTCACCTGGAGCGTCCCGTCTCCACAGTTGTCTAACCCATTGCCAAGGAGACGGCGAGATATACACACGTTGTTGGAGCAGGTGTAGTCCCTGGAGAAGCAGGGAGCTGAAGAACATATAGCGAAACATGGCACTAGAAATATTAACACAATTATATATGTCATCCCTCCCCGAGTCAATGTTTAAAATATTAAAGTACACTGTCAAAGGGTTTTTTATTGTCACTTTTTAAACGGTCAATATACTTTGGTCAAAATTTAAAGAAGATATTGCTATGACCAATCAACGTCTTAACTTCACTTGGCCCCGTTTGACAAAGCGATCGTAGCGCTCCGACCTTCCGTGTTAAAGTATGGGAGTTACGATCACCCCAGCGATACAACTTTCTGTGTTAAAGTATGGGAGTTACGATCACCCCAGCGCTACAACTTTCTGTGTTAAAGTATGGGAGTTACGATCACCTTAACCTTACGACTGTCTGTGTTAAAGTATGGGAGTTACGATCACCTTAGCCTTACGACTGTCTGTGTTAAAGTATGGGAGTTACGATCACCTTAGCCTTACGACTGTCTGTATTAAAGTATGGGAGTTACGATCACCTTAGCCTTACGACTGTCTGTGTTAAAGTATGGGAGTTACGATCACCTTAGCCTTACGACTGTCTGTGTTAAAGTATGGGAGTTACGATCACCTTAGCCTCACGACTGTCTGTGTTAAAGTATGGGAGTTACGATCACCTTAGCCTCACGACTGTCTGTATTAAAGTATGGGAGTTACGATCACCTTAGCCTCACGACTGTCTGTATTAAAGTATGGGAGTTACGATCACCTTAGCCTTACGACTGTCTGTATTAAAGTATGGGAGTTACGATCAGCTTAGCCTCACGACTGTCTGTGTTAAAGTATGGGAGTTACGATCACCTTAGCCTCACGACTGTCTGTATTAAAGTATGGGAGTTACGATCACCTTAGCCTCACGACTGTCTGTATTAAAGTATGGGAGTTACGATCACCTTAGCCTTACGACTGTCTGTGTTAAAGTATGGGAGTTACGATCACCTTAGCCTTACGACTGTCTGTATTAAAGTATGGGAGTTACGATCAGCTTAGCCTTACGACTGTCTGTATTAAGGTATGGGAGTTACGATCACCTTAGCCTTACGACTGTCTGTGTTAAGTATTGGAGTTACGATCACCTTAGCCTTACGACTGTCTGTATTAAAGTATGGGAGTTACGATCAGCTTAGCCTTACGACTGTCTGTGTTAAAGTATGGGAGTAACGATCACCTTAGCCTCACAACTGTCTGTATTAAAGTATGGGAGTTACGATCAGCTTAGCCTTACGACTGTCTGTGTTAAAGTATGGGAGTTACGATCACCTTAGCCTTAGGACTGTCTGTATTAAAGTATGGGAGTTACGATCACCTTAGTCTTACGACTCTCTGTGTTAAAGTATGTGAGTTACGATCACCTTAGTCTTACGACTGTCTGTGCTAAAGTTTGGGAGTTACGTTCACCTTAGCGCTTTTACTGTCTGTGTTATATTATAGGAGTTAGCGCTACGATCACTTCGTGGAACGGGGACCTGGTTTGTGTGCATCACGTTCCTCTATTATGCGTGGATACATGTTGCTGATTTTTAACCAAAGAATCAAGCGACGGCCTGGTCCAAGCGAGAGGGAAGCCTGAGCGCTCAGTTTGCATCGTAAAAACGGCAATGCTTCTCGTTTGATATTGTGTGCTATCATATTATTCAGTGAACCGCAACATGTATAATTTAATTGCCCAACTCAATGGTCTTCTGATAAAAATGTCATTGAGTCAGACATAATGAAAAAAGTGTAATTACATTCGAGGAAAAAATCGATTGGTTATTTTCAGCTAAAAATAGCATTTCATCCCTGTGTTATCAGACCACCACCATCACTAGAAGTCTATAGAGAGTTAACAAGCTACCAACTATCACTTAATGTACACAAAGAGTTAACAGACTACCAACCATTACTGAATGCACAATAAAAAAGTTAACAGACTACCAACCACCACAGAATGCACAATACAAAGAGTTAACAGACTACCAACCACCACAGAATGCACAATACAAAGAGTTAACAGACTACCAACCACCACTGAATGCACAATACAAAGTGTTAACACACTACCAACCACCACAGAATGCACAATACAAAGTGTTAACACACTACCAACCACCACTGAATGCACAATACAAAGTGTTAACACACTACCAACCACCACTGAATGCACAATACAAAGAGTTAACCGACTACCAACCACAACAGAATGCACAATACAAAGTGTTAACACACTACCAACCACCACTGAATGCACAATACAAAGAGTTAACCGACTACCAACCATTACTGAATGCACAATACAAAGTGTTAACAGACTACCAACCACCGTTGAATGCACAATACAAAGTGTTAACACACTACCACCCACCACAGAATGCACAATACAAAGTGTTAACAGACTACCAACCACCACTGAATGCACAATACAAAGAGTTAACACACCACCAACCACCGTTGAATGCACAATACAAAGTGTTAACAGACTACCAACCACCACTGAATGCACAATACAAAGTGTTAACAGACTACCAACCACCACTGAATGCACAATAAAAAGTGTTAACAGACTACCAACCACCACTGAATGCACAATACAAAGAGTTAACAGACTACCAACCACCACAGAATGTTCAATACAAAGAGTTAACACACTACCAACCACCACTGAATGCACAATACAAAGAGTTAACACACTACCAACCACCACTGAATGCACAATACAAAGTGTTAACACAATACCAACCACCACTGAATGCACAATACAAAGTGTTAACACAATACCAACCACCACAGAATGCACAATACAAAGAGTTAACCGACTACCAACCACAACAGAATGCACAATACAAAGTGTTAACACACTACCAACCACCACTGAATGCACAATACAAAGTGTTAACACACTACCAACCACCACTGAATGCACAATACAAAGTGTTAACAGACTACCAACCACCACAGAATGCACAATACAAAGTGTTAACACACTACCAACCACCACTGAATGCACAATACAAAGTGTTAACAGACTACCAACCACCACAGAATGCACAATACAAAGTGTTAACACAATACCAACCACCACTGAATGCACAATACAAAGTGTTAACACAATACCAACCACCACAGAATGCACAATACAAAGAGTTAACACACTACCAACCACAACAGAATGCACAATACAAAGTGTTAACACACTACCAACCACCACTGAATGCACAATACAAAGTGTTAACACACTACCAACCACCACTGAATGCACAATACAAAGTGTTAACAGACTACCAACCACCACAGAATGCACAATACAAAGTGTTAACACACTACCAACCACCACTGAATGCACAATACAAAGTGTTAACAGACTACCAACCACCACAGAATGCACAATACAAAGTGTTAACACACTACCAACCACCACTGAATGCACAATACAAAGTGTTAACACACTACCAACCACCACTGAATGCACAATACAAAGTGTTAACACAATACCAACCACCACTGAATGCACAATACAAAGTGTTAACACACTACCAACCACCACAGAATGCACAATACAAAGTGTTAACACACTACCAACCACCACTGAATGCACAATACAAAGTGTTAACACACTACCAACCACCACAGAATGCACAATACAAAGAGTTAACACACTACCAACCACAACAGAATGCACAATACAAAGTGTTAACCGACTACCAACCACAACAGAATGCACAATACAAAGTGTTAACACACTACCAACCACCACTGAATGCACAATACGAAGTGTTAACACACTACCAACCACCACTGAATGCACAATACAAAGTGTTAACACACTACCAACCACCACTGAATGCACAATACAAAGTGTTAACAGACTACCAACCACCACTGAATGCACAATACAAAGTGTTAACACACTACCAACCACCACTGAATGCACAATACAAAGAGTTAACACACTACCAACCACAACAGAATGCACAATACAAAGAGTTAACACACTACCAACCACCACTGAATGCACAATACAAAGGGTTAACAGACTACCAACCGCCACAGAATGCACAATACAAAGTGTTAACACACTACCAACCACAACAGAATGCACAATACAAAGTGTTAACACACTACCAACCACAACAGAATGCACAATACAAAGTGTTAACAGACTACCAACCACCACAGAATGCACAATACAAAGAGTTAACACACTACCAACCACCACTGAATGCACAATACAAAGTGTTAACACACGACCAACCACCACAGAATGCACAATACAAAGAGTTAACAGACTACCAACCACCACAGAATGCACAATACAAAGAGTTAACACACTACCAACCACCACTGAATGCACAATACAAAGTTTTAACACACTACCAACCACCATTGAATGCACAATACAAAGTGTTAACACACTACCAACCACCACTGAATGCACAATACAAAGAGTTAACCGACTACCAACCACAACAGAATGCACAATACAAAGAGTTAACAGACTACCAACCACCACAGAATGCACAATACAAAGAGTTAACACACTACCAACCACCACTGAATGCACAATACAAAGTGTTAACACACTACCAACCACCACTGAATGCACAATACAAAGTGTTAACACACTACCAACCACCACTGAATGCACAATACAAAGAGTTAACACAATACCAACCACCACTGAATGCACAATACAAAGTGTTAACACACTACCAACCACCACTGAATGCACAATACAAAGTGTTAACACACTACCAACCACCACTGAATGCACAATACAAAGTGTTAACACACTACCAACCACCACTGAATGCACAATACAAAGTGTTAACACACTACCAACCACCACAGAATGCACAATACAAAGTGTTAACACACTACCAACCACCACTGAATGCACAATACAAAGTGTTAACACACTACCATCCACCACTGAATGCACAATACAAAGTGTTAACAGACTACCAACCACCACAGAATGCACAATACAAAGAGTTAACACACTACCAACCACCACAGAATGCACAATACAAAGTGTTAACAGACTACCAACCACAACAGAATGCACAATACAAAGAGTTAACACACTACCAACCACCACTGAATACACAATACAAAGTGTTAACAGACTACCAACCACCACAGAATGCACAATACAAAGAGTTAACACACTACCAACCACAACAGAATGCACAATACAAAGTGTTAACAGACTACCAACCACCACAGAATGCACAATACAAAGAGTTAACACACTACCAACCACCACAGAATGCACAATACAAAGTGTTAACAGACTACCAACCACCACAGAATGCACAATACAAAGAGTTAACACACTACCAACCACCACAGAATGCACAATACAAAGTGTTAACAGACTACCAACCATCACTGAATGCACAATACAAAGAGTTAACACACTACCAACCACCACAGAATGCACAATACAAAGTGTTAACACACTACCAACCACCACTGAATGCACAATACAAAGTGTTAACACACTACCAACCACCACAGAATGCACAATACAAAGTGTTAACAGACTACCAACCACCACTGAATGCACAATACAAAGTGTTAACACACTACCAACCACCACTGAATGCACAATACAAAGTGTTAACACACTACCAACCACCACTGAATGCACAATACAAAGTGTTAACAGACTACCAACCATTATTGTATGCACAATACAAAGAGTTAACAGACTACCAACCATTATTGTATGCACAATACAAAGAGTTAACAGACTACCAACCATTATTGTATGCACAATACAAAGAGTTAACACACTACCTACCATTATTGTATGCACAATACAAAGTGTTAACACACTACCTACCATTATTGTATGCACAATACAAAGTGTTAACACACTACCTACCATTATTGTATGCACAATACAAAGTGTTAACACACTACCTACCATTATTGTATGCACAATACAAAGTGTTAACACACTACCTACCATTATTGTATGCACAATACAAAGTGTTAACACACTACCTACCATTATTGTATGCACAATACAAAGTGTTAACACACTACCAACCATTATTGTATGCACAATACAAAGTGTTAACACACTACCCACCATTATTGTATGCACAATACAAAGTGTTAACACACTACCCACCATTATTGTATGCACAATACAAAGTGTTAACACACTACCCACCATTATTGTATGCACAATACAAAGTGTTAACACACTACCTACCATTATTGTATGCACAATACAAAGTGTTAACACACTACCAACCATTATTGTATGCACAATACAAAGTGTTAACACACTACCCACCATTATTGTATGCACAATACAAAGTGTTAACACACTACCTACCATTATTGTATGCACAATACAAAGTGTTAACACACTACCAACCATTATTGTATGCACAATACAAAGTGTTAACACACTACCAACCATTATTGTATGCACAATACAAAGTGTTAACACACTACCAACCACCACTGAATGCACAATACAAAGTGTTAACACACTACCAACCACCACTGAATGCACAATACAAAGTGTTAACACACTACCAACCATTATTGTATGCACAATACAAAGTGTTAACACACTACCTACCATTATTGTATGCACAATACAAAGTGTTAACACACTACCAACCACCACTGAATGCACAATACAAAGTGTTAACACACTACCAACCATTATTGTATGCACAATACAAAGTGTTAACACACTACCTACCATTATTGTATGCACAATACAAAGTGTTAACACACTACCCACCATTATTGTATGCACAATACAAAGTGTTAACACACTACCAACCATTATTGTATGCACAATACAAAGTGTTAACACACTACCAACCATTATTGTATGCACAATACAAAGTGTTAACACACTACCAACCATTATTGTATGCACAATACAAAGTGTTAACACACTACCCACCATTATTGTATGCACAATACAAAGTGTTAACCGACTACCCACCATTATTGTATGCACAATACAAAGAGTTAACACACTACCAACCACCACTGAATGCACAATACAAAGTGTTAACACACTACCAACCATTATTGTATGCACAATACAAAGTGTTAACACACTACCTACCATTATTGTATGCACAATACAAAGTGTTAACACACTACCCACCATTATTGTATGCACAATACAAAGTGTTAACACACTACCAACCATTATTGTATGCACAATACAAAGTGTTAACACACTACCAACCATTATTGTATGCACAATACAAAGTGTTAACACACTACCAACCATTATTGTATGCACAATACAAAGTGTTAACACACTACCCACCATTATTGTATGCACAATACAAAGTGTTAACCGACTACCCACCATTATTGTATGCACAATACAAAGTGTTAACACACTACCCACCATTATTGTATGCACAATACAAAGTGTTAACACACTACCAACCATTATTGTATGCACAATACAAAGTGTTAACACACTACCCACCATTATTGTATGCACAATACAAAGTGTTAACACACTACCTACCATTATTGTATGCACAATACAAAGTGTTAACACACTACCAACCATTATTGTATGCACAATACAAAGTGTTAACACACTACCAACCATTATTGTATGCACAATACAAAGTGTTAACACACTACCAACCACCACTGAATGCACAATACAAAGTGTTAACACACTACCAACCACCACTGAATGCACAATACAAAGTGTTAACACACTACCAACCATTATTGTATGCACAATACAAAGTGTTAACACACTACCTACCATTATTGTATGCACAATACAAAGTGTTAACACACTACCAACCACCACTGAATGCACAATACAAAGTGTTAACACACTACCAACCATTATTGTATGCACAATACAAAGTGTTAACACACTACCTACCATTATTGTATGCACAATACAAAGTGTTAACACACTACCAACCACCACTGAATGCACAATACAAAGTGTTAACACACTACCAACCATTATTGTATGCACAATACAAAGTGTTAACACACTACCTACCATTATTGTATGCACAATACAAAGTGTTAACACACTACCCACCATTATTGTATGCACAATACAAAGTGTTAACACACTACCAACCATTATTGTATGCACAATACAAAGTGTTAACACACTACCCACCATTATTGTATGCACAATACAAAGTGTTAACACACTACCAACCATTATTGTATGCACAATACAAAGTGTTAACACACTACCCACCATTATTGTATGCACAATACAAAGAGTTAACACACTACCCACCATTACTGAATGCAGTCAGGAGGAGATTAAAACGAGGCCCATCCCTGCTTCCTCCAGGCCTGAAAGAGATGGAGAGGTCGACTCGGCGGAAGAAGCGGGGGACGTTTGTAACAGGAAACCGGGTCCTGCATCTCTCACCTGGAAGATGGAGACGACGATTTGAAGGCTTCCTTTCGCCAACAATGTACCTTCAGGGCGTGACGAACTACATAAGAAGGGATTTGACAAGACTGTAGGCGAGAGGGTCAATGATAAACTTGTTCATGATGGTCGTGTGCAGGTCGGAGGATTACATCTATAATAGATGGTTGAAAGGTATAGAGGGAAGGATATATTGAGTCATTCTGGTTGCGAGTTCACTGTATGACAGTGAGACAATGATATATTGATTCATTCTAACCACACATTCACTGGACGAGACAATAAATACTGTGTCATATGGAGACAATTATGAACTTGTTCATTCTGGTTGTGAGTTCACTATATGACAGTGAGCAATGATATATTGTTTCATCTGACTGCATGTGCACTGTATGTAAGCGAGACAATGGTGTACTTGTTCATTCTGGTTGTGGGTTCACTATATGACAGTGAGCAATGATATATTGTTTCATCTGACTGCACGTGCACTGTATGTAAGCGAGACAATGGTGTACTTGTTCATTCTGGTTGTGAGTTCACTATATGACAGTGAGCAATGATATATTGTTTCATCTGACTGCACGTGTACTGTATGTAAGCGAGACAATGGTGTACTTGTTCATTCTGGTTGTGAGTTCACTATATGACAGTGAGCAATGATATATTGTTTCATTCTAACCACACATTCACTGGACGAGACAATAAATACTGTGTCATATGGAGACAATTATGAACTTGTTCATTCTGGTTGTGAGTTCACTATATGACAGTGAGACAATGATATACTGTTTCATCTGACTGCACGTGTACTGTATGTAAGCGAGACAATGGTGTACTTGTTCATTCTGGTTGTGGGTTCACTATATGACAGTGAGCAATGATATATTGTTTCATCTGACTGCACGTGCACTGTATGTAAGCGAGACAATGGTGTACTTGTTCATTCTGGCTGTGAGTTCACTATATGACAGTGAGCAATGATATATTGTTTCATCTGACTGCACGTGCACTGTATGTAAGCGAGACAATGACAATGGTTCTCATTCTGAGTGCAAGTGAACTGTCGGGTAGAGGGACAATCATATACTGGTTCATTCTGGCTACCAATACACAATGGAAAAGAGAGTCAGTGATACACTTATAGGAGATTGGTCTTTGGACGGATTCATATTTGGCTGACACACACACTCATTTGTGTAACATTCTTTTCACACACACACACACACACACACACGCACACGCACGCACACGCACGCACGCACGCACGCACGCACACACACACACACACAAACGCACGCACGCACGCACGCACACACGCACACACACTCACCCCTTCCCAACCTTCACATACAGTTTTCCATAGCCCTCCCCCTCTCCCCACCACCCATATAATAGATTACCAGTCCCTAAATAGTGTTAAAAAATATATTTTTGTATTTGAAAAAAAAATTGCTTGCCGTAAAGGGCGAATATGCCTGTCGTAAGAGGCGACTAACGGGATCGGGTGGTCAGACTCGCTCATTTGGTTGATGCATGTCATCGTGTCCCAATTGCCTGGATCGATGTTTATGATATCAACCACTGGATTGTCTGGTCCAGACTCGGTTATTTACAGACGTCCGTCATATAGCTGGAATATTGCTGATTGTGGCGTTAAACAAGAAAACAAAACAACAACAAAACAACAAGAAAGCATGACGTTGATACCGTTCAACGCCATGTTGCCGACATTGTGTCCCGAAAGACGTTGTGTTCGTGGGTGTAGATATTGGGTTTGGCGTGTACTGCCTGTGGGACTTCCATAAAACTGCACGTGAGTGTGTTCACGGTTTGATATAGGAGGTGATATTAACTTCTGGGTAATAAATTATATTACCATTTAGCGTCACGTGACCAACAGCCTCACAGAAAGGGCCCGGAGTGAATTCGATGGAGGTGAAGGTCGCCATCAGCATCTTGCCTGAAGGTGCCAAGACGGTCAGGTCACAGTCACGTCGGAGGTCAACGGCGACGTTGTTGGTGATCTCCACGTTCTCGAGTCCCGGTACCTCCAGGTCTAGTCTGTCTCCACACATCGTTCCCATGTCATCTGAAACAAACATCCTACGTTTGATGGCGTGAGTGGATTTGTCGGAACGTAAGTTGCTTGAGGGCGTGATTTGGGTGTTTGCGGAATGGGTGTGTGAGTGGGTGGGTGGTTGGGTACTTGAGTGAGTGAGTGGTTGCTATATTCAGCAATAGTACAACCATTTCATGATGGCTAGCAGTGTGTGCTCGACAACAAGCAATCCGGTCGTCTGCTGTTGTTGTGTTGCTTTTTGTGTGTTTTATCGCCTTACTTAGCAATATTCCGGCTATATGACGGAGGTCTGTAAATAATCGAGTCTGGAACAGACAATCCAGTGATTGGCATCTTCACCATCGATCCGCGCAATTGGAATACGATGACATGCATCAACCAAGTCAGCCAGCATAACCACCCGATCCCATTAGTGTTTGATTCGGCGTGCGGGGATGGAGGTGTAATTAAATGCAACACAGTACGATCACATCGGGCAGAGTGTCGTAGGACCCGTGAAGATCCGGGGTAGAAGAGGTCTTTAGCAACCAATGCTTGCTGTAAAAGGCGACTTACGGGATCGGATGGTCAAGCTCACTGACTTGGTTGATGCATGTCATCGATCCCAATTGCGTGGATTGATGCTCATGATATCAATCACTGGATTGTCTGGTCCAGAATCGATTATTTACAGACCGTCGTAATATAGCTGGGATATTGCTGAGTGCGGCGTTAAACAACAAACAAACAAGTGAGTCGTTGTATATCATTAAGCCTGGTCCAGACCAGATTATATATGAGCCGACGTAAGATAGCTTGAACATTGTTAAGTGCAAAAAACAAGCAAACAAACAATAAATATGTGAAGATGACTTACATTTCTTCACAGTGGAGACAGCATGTACGACAACAGACAGAAAACAAATTCTGCAGAAAGCCCTGGAAGAACACACACTCGGCACATACCAACTCATTTTAAGACAGTGATCGCAGTGTTGACAAATATTTGTCTGCCCACACCGGAAGTAGTGTAGAGGACAACGGAAACATTACTCATAACACGTCACGAATTTCCGCTGTATGGAGTCGAGATGAACGCTGTTGTCGTGTTTCGAGATAGACGTTCCAGAATGTTTATATTAAGTATTTGATCTATCGGTGTATTGAACTAACAGTATTTAGGTACATGTACATTTATGTGCTAGGCTAGTGATGAGAGTGACGGAGCAGGTGACGTCACTTCCGAAACGAAACTTCGGTGGCCAAATGATCCAGGGTTTAAGCCTTATAAAATGGAGACATGATACACTGGATAAGCGAGGATGGGGTCGTAATCCCGGGATCGTTCAGCAGAAGGAGGAGAATTGAGTATGGTCCTACGTCGCTGTAGGCAATATTCTAGTAATATCACGGCACCTGGACCCCCGACATAGGCTGGATACCGAACCAGGGTCCCGAGAGAGAGAGAGAGAGGTGTGTGTGTATGTGTGTGTGTGTGTGTGTGTGCGTGTTGGGGGGGGTGGGGGGGGGGGGGGGGGGGGGGGATAGGGAGTGAGAGAGAGAGGGGATAGAGAGGGGATAGGGAGTGAGAGACAGAGGGGAGGGAGGGAGGGAGAGAGAGATAGAGAGAGAGAGGGAGAAAGAGGGGGAGAGAGAGAGAGGGAGATAGAGAGAGGGGAGAGACAGAGGGGAGGGAGGGAGGGGGGAGAGAGAGAGAGAGAGAGAGAGAGAGGGAGAGAGAGGGGGGAGATAGAGAGAGAGGGGGAGTGAGAGAGAGGGGATAGATAGAGGGAGAGAGAGAGACAGAAATATAGAGAGGGGACACACAGAGAGGGAGGAGGGAGAGAGGGGGACACAGAGAGAGGGAGGAGAGAGAGAGGGGGGGTCGTATGGTAAGTCACATGATGCCACCTGGTACGCGAAGTTAATAACCGCGAGAGAGAGAGAGAGAGAGTTAGCATGAATAGGTATCAAATTATTAAAATATTAACCCCGTTAATAAAACTTGACATATGGCATTGGAAAAGTAGCCACCATAGCGCATTATTTAATATATTGACTAAAAACCTGTAGCAAAAGCTCCGTAGTGGCAGAACCGTACGCAACCAGTTAAGGGAGCTGGCCCCGACGTATAGCGATACGCACAATTTTGCTTCCACGTCACCGTGAGGCACGCCCAACTTGGTGTAGACAGCATTAAAGGTTACTAGACAAGACTGGGACATTATACTGTTTACAAATGAGTCCAGGTTTCATCTGGACAACTCTGATGGTCGTGCAAGGTTCTACGGGCGTCCAGGAGCACGTTTAGCGTCAAATGCGTTACTCAAGGTCGTCAGTTCGAGGTCAGGTTCTGTCCTTTGTGCAAATGCCCGCCTACACGTGTTAAACAGATCTTTTGAGGCAGCATAACATTGCTGTACTGACAAGGTTGGCTGTTTCTCTAGACCTCACGCTCATAGAGTGAGTGAGTGAGTGAGTATTGTTTTACGCCGCTTTTAGCAATATTCCAGCAATATCACGGCGGGGGACACCAGAAATGGGCTTCACACATTGTACCCATGTCGGGAATCGAACCCGGGTCTTCGACGTGACGAGCGAACGCTTTAACCACTAGGCTACCCGACCGCCTCTCACGCTCATAGAACATATCTAGAATGAGATAGAACAACGCCTACGACAGGACCAGAACCAGACGATAACACGTCAGTAAGTCAAATCTTTGGTTTACGTTTGGAAAAAAAACATCCCTCAGGCTCTTTTTGGTCTTCAATACGCTGCTGCTGACTCGTCTATATCAACGCAAATGGAGGTCACACCTATTTATTGAGTTGTTACACCAACCCTCTTTTAAAGGGCAAGTTCACACGGAAATGAACCAATTTTTCTTGTACTTTTTCCACATTAAAAGTGTTAACATAGAAGTGTCATAGACAAAAATATAAAAATATCACAATTAATTAACATATTTTTCGCATTAAACGATTTATATTTTTCACATTTACCAAGTGTTCTATTTCCACAACAAAAACACCATGGCTTATGCCCCTTGCAATATGACGTCATTGGTGCCAATTGATAAACATTATGACGTCATCATGCTTTGTTAGAGCCGCTTCACGTGGTGTAGGTCCAGGTGTGTGATTCTAGCGTCTCAGATGCCAGCCAGCATAGTGTTATGCTGAGTCACCACTGCGCCGGAGTGTGTCGTAGGCCATGTTGTTTTACCGCAAACTGGTACTTGATATCTTTTGCGTTGAGAATAGACAGGGACCCAGTTGAATTGGCACCAATTACGTCATAATCTAAGGGGGATAACTCAGGCCTGTTTAGCTCGAAAAACGAAGGCCTCATAACGGCATATCATTTTCACACTATTGTGAGCTTCCTACGTTCACTGTGAAAAAATTGAGTGTATATTTTCAAACACAGATACTAATTAATTCTAAAATTGCGTTTTGTTTAGAAAAAGAAAGAAAGTGATTTTTGCGTGTACACTTCCCCTTTAAGTTGTGGCGTTCTGTCTCCTGTTTATGAATTTGTTATGTTTTGAGCAGACGAATGACCGAGTGTTATGCTGTTATTTTCAATAACATAACATTTACACAACTTTATATGTAGAAGAATTACTTTCCGTTAGTAAAAAACACATTGAACCTGTTTCAGTGATCACTGACTCAAGGAACTCGCCCTATTATGTTAAGGTTAAGAATATGTCTTGTTATCCAGCAATTGCAAGTTACGGGGTAACATATTCATCATAATGAGATCTATTCACACACATATCAGTCTGTAGATTGTGTTCTATTCACACACACACACACACACACACACACACACACACACACACACACACACACACACACACACACACTCACTCACTCACTCACTCACTCACTCACACTCACTCACTCACTCACTCACTCACTCATTCACTCACTCACACTCACTCACTCACACTCACTCACTCACTCACTCACTCACTCACTCACTCACACACTCACTCACTCACTCACTCACACACTCACTCACTCACTCACTCACTCACACACTCACTCACTCACTCACACACTCACTCACTCACACACTCACTCACTCACTCACTCACTCACACACTCACACACGCACACTCACGTTAAAAACACAAATATATAATTACATATTAAAACTATTACTGTGACAACACTAAAATTCACACAACTCATATAAATATTTTCGGACTACTCGTCAATTATTATTCAACTTATGTGGGCATCACTTGGTCAAACGTCCAAGGAAGCCTTAACCCTTATACTCAGCGCACGAACTCAAATTTTCTCATCAAGCTGATAATTGAACATGCAGTAAATGCGTGACCATTCAAGGTGTCTAGACTATATATACTGGCTAGCCCCGGGGGTACCTCACTGTCGAGAAATCCCCAATAAAGGAGCTGGCCATAGACACTTTGGTTTCTTTGAAGGTAAGTCATGCTCACCTTACTATTTCTCTAAATTTATAAGTTAAATTGTTTTATAATTTGTATTATAAGCTGTAAAGGTATTTAATCTTATGTTACTGACCATGTATAAGGGGAAATATTAAGTGGGTTATCTGTCAAATGTATGTGCGTTAGCTTTAGACAAAACTATCGTTTAAGTATTAACTCCACGGTATAGCATATTTTGAATATCAAACATGTTCTGAGTCGGAAATAAGGTTGTTAACAATCGGGTGTCATGGTAGCAAGCTGTGTCTTTTATCTGCGTGATGATAATTTAGTGTGATTCAGTTATTTTGTTCATGTGAAAACGTTGTGTAAATGCAGACGAACCACCTCACTTTGATCAGACTTTTTATATCACACGAGGTATGTACATTATCTTTTAATGTAAGGATTCTATGATGAACCATACATTGCATGTATTACTTCTTCATCAACAGACTGCTTTAAATAGTTGTTTACAAGAGTTATTTGATGGAACTAGCCTGGCAGAAAACGTTAATTTCTATAGCTAATATATGATGTATTTATGCTAATAGCAAAACTACATTTGTAAGCCAGAGCTAAAAGCAGTAATAATATTCATGTAATCATGATAGCGACGTACAAATAAGATAGGTAACTCTCTTGTACTTACATAGGTCTGAGCATAATGCATTTGTAACACAGCTTCAGCAAAACATGTCTACATTCCGAGCAATGCCTAAAATGTACATATATCCATATATACTCTTCAAAAAAAGAAACTTGACATAGATTTAAAACCACTTTTTGCCAAATATCTAAAATAATTACATTAAATGAGAACCAAATAAGTCAAACAGAAAGATGATGTGTCTATAATTCGCGAAAACACATGCAAAGCACATAAACGTAGCGTTTGGGATCAATTTTACAGCTTCATCCAAACGCAACCGCCTGTAAAAAACGTGCAGCACAGGATCCTGCATTTAGGCATGCAGGCCCCCCTGCTGAATGGGTATAAAAATCCACATCAACGGCTGTTCATACAGTCCTTATAACGGCAGTAGAGGCGGTGACAGAATGCCAAGAATGAATGCAGCTCAACGGAACAACGCCATTGGGAGATTACAAGCTGGAGCAACTCAGCAAGAAGTGGCCAGGCACTTTGGCGTATCCAGACAGACAACCTCCGCACTGTGGACCCGATACAACAACACCAACAGAGTTGACGACAGACCAAGGTCAGGAAGACCAAGGGTGACAACCCAAGCACAAGATCGATACATCCGACTGCGACACCTCCGAGACCGTACTGCCACAGCCACGTCTACAACCACACAGATCCCTGGGGTACGCAGAATATCAGATCAAACGGTACGCAACAGACTGAGGGAGGCTGGACTTTTTGCACGAAGACCTGTTCGACGTCATGTATTGACCCACGTCATCTGGCGGACCGTCTGCTTTGGTGCCAACAGAGTGTTAGATGGGCACGTGCAAGGTGGAGAAATGTACTGTTTACTGAAGAGTCCCGTTTTCTACTCACACGTGCTGATGGGCGGG